ACGAGGCATCTGCCTCTTCCTTTGTCAGAAGGCTGCCATCCCATCTTCTTTCACTATTCATATCCATCTGAAAACATAAAAAAAGAAATCCTTCCATTATTCAGATATCATGGCACAGACCTGATAGCTTCAACATGTAGTTAGGGTTGTTAATTTGGGTCCAGATAGAGTTGAAGTGGTGACACGGACTTGAGATACCAAGATGTTTTGTGTTGATTGGGTTGCTGAGATGACAACAAAGATCCTCTATACCTACCTTTATTATCTTGTCACTCAAATTTTCTAACTGTTTATTTTCACTACAGGTCCAAGCACCTTCCACCATTTGGATCCTTTTTGCACAGACTTGTGACTGGATATTTACAATGGATTGCAAGCATTTTAGAGTAGTCATGGCTTGGCGTCTCACGTTTCGCCCTCGGATAATTGCTTGAAGCTTCACTATCCCCTTCAGCGCCCGCAAAGCTTTCCTTGCCTGCCGAAAAGAACAGTTGAGATTGTTGCATGTTCTACGAAAAGCTTTCAATAATCAATTGATTGAGCTAATATAGAAGGGACTTTGATGTCAAATGGAGAGAATAGCTTGAACGAACTCACAAGGTAACCCCTAAAGGTAGCTTGAATTTTGATGGCAGCAAGTTCTTTGATCCCCCTCTCACGTTGATGAGTGGAATGAGGGGCATCACCTTGAACTTTGAAGGTTAAATGGTCGGTTTCTTTCTCATATTCATTGATAGAATGAGGAACACCAGTGAGCAAAACCACCTCGGCCGCTGCCTGAGCAGCTACAACAGCTGCCTCAGCAGCAGCAGCAGTGGCAAGAGCAACACTTAGAGCATGCTTGCTCTGCTCCTTCTCTGCTTCTTCTCTTAGTGGTGATGATGGTGCTGCAATGGAGGCCAATCTATTCTTGACCTTAAACTTTCCAAAAAACATCCATTTTCTTCTCCTTTCCTGATGATAACACACATAATACATCAAGTCATGCATTTTGACAGACATCGAGAGATGTTACAAAGGAGAAAAACTACCTACCTTTTCTTGTCTTGACTGTGTGTCAGAAGTGAATAACCTTCTCACTCGATAGAACCAGCTTCTCTTCTTAGCCATTGAAGCACCACAACTTTACACAATATTGTGAGATCCTCAATGATCTGAAAAGTTCTCACCAAGCACTTGTATATTACTTCTTTTTTTTTTTATTATTCAACTTGCACACATATCTTAAACTTATTAGAAAATGCTAAATTTCATGAAGATTTTCGATGTTGTAAAGTAGGCCAATTGCTTACCATCTCCTGAAATCAAGGTATTTGGTGAGTCAAACAAGAAAAGCTACTTCAAATAAAGATCCAAGTCTTGAGGGCTTGGGTCACAGTTAAGAAACTGAGGAGGAATGATTTTCCTTGAATTCTCAAAACACAAACACCAAGAAATGTGATAGCAAAGTCCCTAAGAGACTAATGAAAATAGACTGAAATCACGAACACCAAAAAAGTTTGTTAATTCCCTAGTTGGTGGCATTCTTGCTGGTATGTTTTGTATTTCTATGCAATCATTCATCTTTTCCATGATGAGTTTCATCAGTATAAAGCTGTGGGCCTTTAAGCAAGAACTGTGCAGAGGTGGAAAATGAAAAAATAAAAACAACTTGGAGCCATCCATCTTACTTTCATGGAAAATACCTCATATAAACATCCTTCTCAAGGCTCATGGGACCTCCCATCTTTTTTCCAACTTTCATACTTCTCAATTCTGATAGACCTGACATGTACACATGTTTGTTGGGGTTGAAATTATTGAACTACCCTCTTCACCTCTTTAATATATATATATTATAGTTTTTTTTTTCAAATTAAGTTTTGAGAAAAAATTCGCGAAAAAAACAAACGGAGTATTTAATTTAGAACTTTTTAGTGAATCCATAAAGTACCTATATTTTTCCCAAAAGGAAGAATTGAGCCCTCAGTTTTTCCAGGTTACTACTCTCCACCCTTCATGGCATGTCTTTTATTGCTTCCAAGGTCATCATCACAAAGTCCTTGTGAAACAGAGGAATGTGGCTGCTCCTAAAATGACAACAAAACAAGGAGAGACTGTTAAATGTGCAGTGTCCTGCACATGTGCACACTTCTGCTCAGGCATACAAGAGTGAGGGGACTATTATTGAGCAAAGTGGGGATGGTACCAATGTGCAAAAGCTGAGTGGGAATGTGCAGATGAAACCAAAACGCACTTAGCTTGTAAGATGGAAAGACAGCTGTGTAAGGGCCCCCGGAGGAGAGGAGATGTCATAATTTTACTCAACTTTTGGGGAAAAAATAAAAAAAAAATGAAAGAAAACTCTCCTTCCTTTATGGAGCCGCAGTTGCCCCTCTCTATCACTCTCTTAAAACCACCTGCATGACCTTAACTCCTCTGTCTAGGTTTTGGTCTGCCCAGCAAGGTGGAATTAATGGGCTTAAAATGGTGCTGGTGATAATGTTAATGCAATCACTGTCTCACTGGTTTCTTCCTGTTTCAACTACATTGTGACTGAATGGCTAGTGGAATTACAAAGATCAGAACAAAAGCTTGGAGTTTATGAGCATGCCTTAACTTTGATTAGAACTTTCATACCAAGTAGGGATTGTTTCACTTGTTAATAAGTAAAAAAACTCGGCGATAACTCGACTCCTCGAGCAAAAACATGATTGAAGAGGAAATTCCAACCCAGAAATTAGTCACTCAGTCTTAGAGTCCAACCCAGAAATTCCATAGTGACAAACAGGCCAAGTCGATGGACTTGCATCATTACAAGAAAGGGAGTCAAAAAAGCTATGGGAAATAGATGAATGATTAAAGCCATTGGTAAGACACTTGCATGTTTAACACAAGGCCTTCGATTATTCAAGGCATATAATTCAGTGGTCCTTTGGAGCTCATGATAGCAATGCCTCAAATTGAGTGGTTTTTGACTCATGATTTCTAGCCATAGCGCTAGGATTTAAGATAAGATAGTGTTTAATTAGTATTTCGAGATAAAAAAATAAAAAATAATAAAAATAAAAGGAGTGTATTTTCATGTATTTTTTGTTTTTAAAATACAGAAATTCTCCTTAAAATTATTTCAAAAACACATTTATTTTATGTTTTCATTTCTACATGTTCAACTAAATATACTATCTTTTCTATCTTAAAACATTAAATATATTATCTCTTTTATCTCGAAACATTAACCTCACCTGTTGACATCCAACTGAATTTGAAACCGGAATTCAATAAGAGAGGTTCTCGTTAGTATCCAAATCTAATCCAATTACAGCTATGTTCTTATTTTATGGTTTTTGAAAATGGTGCATTTTTCCATGTTACTTTCAGAAAGAATCAACAGTCTTTGGAGATCAGAGCTTGCCTGGCAGATTCTATCAGTCTGCAAATGGCTACCGAGGATCAGTACATGTTTCCCACTACCATCTCTTATTTTCTAGTACATTACTTCTCGAATAAAATATCTAAAACGGGTATGGTAAAGCCTTCTTCTTCCACTATGTGTCCCTTCATTGGTTAGTAAGTTTCTACCCCTCTTTTAAGTTTACATTGATCTTTATTTATTTATTTTTTGAGATTTCTTGTGACAAGCTATGTATATAACCATTTGCCGTAGGCTCGAGCTAAATAGACTAGAAATAATGTAAGCACATAGATAAATATTAAATGTTTACTCAATGAAGAGAGTTGCAGATATCAACCCCAAATTTATATTTTTATTGTCATAAAATAAAATATATAATGATTATCTCCTTAAAATATTTACAAGACCAAGATCCTATCTCTAGTAGTAAACAATTAAAAATCCTAGAAACATAAAAGAAAAAAATATTGAATTAAAACATAGAATCCAAAAAAATATAGATAAAATAATAAAATTGGCCTAACATAATAGCATTTTTAAGGTGACTATATTTTCTCTTGAGTTTAGATATATTTCATTGGTTCATAAAAACATAGTTTTTATACTATGTTATTCACATAATTTATTTGTGTCAGATTCCCATTTAGCAATGTTCAAGAATTATTTTTTTATGGAAACAAAAAACTAAATACCTCAATGTAAGAAAAAAAATCATAGCAAATTTGAACCGAAGACCTCTCATGGTTTTGAAACTCGTTTTAGGGTCTAACATGGTATGGCTATCATTGAATTATTTGGTTAACTTACGAATCATCGGATTAATTATATTTTCCTAAAAAAAATATTATTTTATTTTTAAAAAAAGTCCCTTGAAGTTGACCTTGCCCAACTAGGTTGCAAATTAACTTGTAAAATTAATCTTTATATAACATATTTTTAACAGTAAATAATATTTTTGATAAGTTCTTAAGTAAAGTATCTCCATCAAAATAATTTAGTGTATTAACGAGGAAAATTATCTTCTCAAACAGGCACTTTAAGTTACTTGATTTTGCAGGTTCAGAATTCACAGGCTTTAATGGACATGCTATCTTTCCTAGGATCCAACTCAATTCTAGGCCCAGCCTCCTTTAAGGCCTATATAACTCTGTAAAATGAACAAGAACATAAGCCCATGACATCCTCTGAGAACTGCACAGCCATGTTTCAGGCCTGTGAGCTTTCTACCTTTGAAAAGACCTTTCGTTCTAGGGCCTGGTTGGTGGTGATCTCTTCTGGTGTGAAAGAGCCTTTTGCCTGTTTATCGGAAGAAGGAAATAAAAAAGAATATTGTGCCCTTTTTAATAAAATGATGATTTGTTAAGTTTCACCTTTATCTTCTCAATATCTTTACTCTTTTATATAAAATTGTCAAAACCCCCAAATTTCTACTCAGTTAAAAGAAAGGCCCAGCTCGAGTCTGGTTTTGTTTTGTCATGTGGTTTGGTTAAAGATGTTTTTAGATTAATTATAATTTTAAAAATTATTTTATTTTTATTGTCTAAACTTGTTTTTCATCTTAAATTATGGTAAAAATTTGTATTTGAAAAAAATTATAATTTATAGCTGCATGGATAATTGAATAATAAAAAAAATCTCACAAATTTCTTGTTTTTGCAAGGGGGCTTCCCAACCCCACCTTTGTAAAGCAAAAACTCTTCCTACGACCAGAACAGAACCAAAGCATTCTTTTCATGCCCCTGTGTCTTCTCGTTACTTACCTTCACACGAAATCCAACCTTCTCTCTTCCATTACCCCCTCGTCTTTCTTCTCCTTCAAACAAAACCAACAAATTTCCACACTTTTTTACATAATTTATTTCACTGTTAAAGTAATTATCTTTGTCGAATAATGAGATAGTGAAAAGACAGAATCTTGATTTGTTTTGGAGGTTTTTTGATTTGTTTAGTGTAATGGGAAATTGGAGAAATCGTCCATCACGTAGATTCTTTAACAAAACATCAACAACGTATTCTTATGTCTACCCTGAATCTCCTCCTCACTCAAGTAAGTATTGTTTCGATCTGTGATTATGTATGTATTGGTTATTGGTTTTTTTTTTTTTTGCATATATTTATTTTTTGCAATTAAATTTGAATTGGGTTATGTGGGATTGTTGGACTCTTTATTTTTCATGATGGGTTTTTGTTAGAATCTGTTTATGTTTGTTTGGTTGATTTGTTTAGTTGGTTTTTGTTTTTCTAGTCGGGAGTTAAAAAATTGTTGCTTTCTTGGTGTTATGTTTGGTAGCTGAGAAAATGGTGGTTAAAGGATGGAAATTTTGATAATTTTTAGTGTTGCATGCTAAGAGAAAACGAAACTTTGATTGGCAAGTTGTTTATAATTGGTGCAATATTAGTTAAAAAAATGAATCTTCATGTCCTGTTTGGTAGCTTAGAAAATGGTAGGAGAGATTGGACATTCATATCTGTAGTGAATGCTGCATGTTAAGAGTTTTTTAAATTCAGAGATGGTATAGTTGGTGTAGTTTCAAAATAGGGTTTTTCATTCGGGGTAAGGTAGATAAGAACAAGAACATGACAACAAGAAAGCAATAGGTTAAGGTGTGGATATGCTCGCTATGCTTGTTAGTTACTATTACTTAACATGGAAAGTGATATATATCAAAGAGGCATTTATCACATTACCAAATCTATATCAATTTCAATGTGTTTTCATCCTAATGCATAGATATTAACTGTATTCGTGATTCGTGACGGTGAGAGTTAGATGTGGTAGCTTTTGGGAGAATACTAACTCAGTTTATACTTGGATTTCTTAGCTGTTCTTCGTTGGCCATGATTTTCCCTTTCCTTTTAATAGTAGCAATTAAATTTGTTTCTTTTCTTCTTTCGGTCAGGTTTAGTACATATACAGATGTTGCTTGTTAGGAATTTATTCTTATAAGCTGACAGCAGTTAATTATTCTTGAAGCAAATATTTTACTCCTTTTATGTTCATTGCTTATGCGGCTACTTTTACACATGTGCTTAGCTGTTTGTATGAAGAATGCATTGTTTTGGAGGGTGAAGATTTTGTAGCTAGAACTGACGAACGTAAAAGGAAACCTCTTGGGTTGATTTGCTATTATCCTAGCTAACATATTAAACAAGAAATTACATGATATTACACCGGTCTTCTTGAGGAACGGCAGATCGCATCCTCATTCTGTTGAGTTTTGGCCCACCCATCTCTAAGTTGCTAAAATTGGTGGAGTTTTGGACTTTGGTCAGGTCCAACACTAATAGTGTAATTAATGGTGGAAATTGATTAAGCAAAACAGCTTTTATTGACTAACTGATTTTTGGAAGTCCATATTTAGAGGATCCTTTTGGCTAATTTATTGGTGTTTTGCATATAATGAGAAATTTGGAGATAAGAATGGAGCAACATGCTTTGAAAAGATTAGCATTATTCTATGCATTTGAATTTGAGCTTATTTTCATCTCCCAGTTATCCCTTCTTGTAAATTGCTAGGCTTTAGTGCTGGCAATTATACATGACTTTTCTCTACTTTGGACAAAGCCTCAATGGAATTTCTTATCCTAGCTTCAGTCCTTTACTTCATTGGTTGAGGAGGACTGTGAACCACCATTCTGAGTGAATTCAGAACTCCGCACTAGCAGCTCTTTTGTGGTTTCATAGGTATGGGGATTTTCGATTTATTTTTTCTTCATGTTATGTGGTGCATACTAGATTTTTAAATTATAGGCTGTGTATGAGATAATGCTTGGATAGATTTTTCTGTTTTGGTAATAAATTCCTTTCCCTGTATGTTATATACTCTTTTAAGGTATGTTAATTAATTTATCTTTTAACCTTTTGAAGGCTTTGTTGATGATGGTATTCCTTCATGGGAAAAGAAGTTCTGCTCTTTGATTGGATCAGTACCGTGGCGGAAGGTTGTAGATGCTAAGAAGTATATGTATTGCCATGGTAACATACTCAATTGGGATGACTCAGCAGGTGAAGAGGCATTTCATAATGCTAAAAAACGCTTCTGGGCAGAGATCAATGGTGTCTCTTGTGGCATCTCTCCACCTGATCCAAATTTATATATCGATGAAATAAAGTGGAATGCCTACATTGATCCTGAAGTCATCAAGGACTTGGAACAAGATCTCTTTGTCCCCTATGAGGGAGATACAGGTGGCAAGGTAGGGCGTAAAAACAAAAAAAGAAGGAAGTTTGTCTCCATTCCTTCAAATGGGTGTTATGAGAATACAGATGATGCTAAAAATCCTTGGGAAAGTAATAACAATATGCAAAGCAGCTTGTCTTTGATTGATAAAGCGAAGAGCTGGAACCAATGGGATTCTGATATCAACAAATCTAGTAATTTAAATAAAGTTGATAACCCCTGGGAGCGTGGCTTTTCTCAGGAATCTGAAGCTGTGAAGGGCAAGACATGGGGTGTCTGTGGTAATAAATCATGGGGATGGAATCATAGTGGAAACCATGTTGATCAGTCAAATGATTGGAATAACAACAGTAACCCCTGGCAGCATAGCCGTCAAGGAGTTGACCCTGCAAATGACAAAGGGTGGGGCAATTTGAGGGATAGTTCTCGGGGCTATAAACAGCATGAATCAAGGAAATGGAATAATGACTGCAAATCTTGGGGAAACGGATTTTTTCAGGGTAGTGGAGCTTCTAAAGATAGAAAATGGGAAGACAACGGCAGCAATTCACAGGGTTGGAAACAGTGGGATAATTATGGTAAAAATACAAAAGGTTTGGATTTCAGAAAACATGGTGGTGGTTGGGAAACCCGGAATGAGGGTTCCTGGCAGAGGGAAGGTGCTCACCAACATATAACTGGCTACGAAAGCACAAGGTTTCAAGGGGATGGTTTTCAAACAGGTCATTCCTGGAGTGGAGGAAGAACTAAGAGGAGGGTTAGTTTTGCTTTTGAATAGCCAATGTTTGTTGAATATTCTTTCTTTTTTCTTTTTCCTTTTGCCTGGGAAACAGATGCCTGTGCTGCCAACTCATATTTCTGAAGATGACAGAAATTCACAGCATCAAATGGAGCAGATTTTTGCAGATGCCATCAAGCTTTTAGATTTCTGTTTATTTCTTTGACTCACAAAGATATGCTTCTTGTGTGCAATTCACACTACACCCTGACAAATAAAGAAAGAAACAATCCTACTGGGTGTTCAAAAGTTCATACATGCAATTTCTTTAGAAAATCTACGAACAGATTATTATTATTATTTTTTTGGAATTTGTCATCAATGGCGTATTTAGGCCTCTGGATTGTATCTTGTGCAGTATCATAAATTGAATGTGAACCTGCCAAAACAGTTCCCCTTTTGGGTGGTTAATTCTGTACTGACATCTGATTGTTCAAGTCAGGTGATTCGATTATCTCTACTGTTGAAAGTACTTTTGGTAAATTTCAGAATTGTGAAGCCAGATGAGGTAATGCTGGATTCTCAGGAGATGACATAACTTAGGTATTTTGGTAATGTGTTGTAACCGAAACCATATGTATCAACACATTTTTAGCTTCAGCTTGAGCAAATGGTCAATTTCTTGTCTTGGTTGCTCCAAGGAACCTGTAGACATCCCTGAAAAACTGGGAGAACTAAAACGTATGAACATAGAACTTTGCAGACAATTTCATAGAGAAGTTTAGAGCAAACAGCTGGTCAAAGGTCAGGAAAGAAGCAAGCAGAAAGGGAGGTAAACTGGCACATAATGATCACATAGGAGTGCTATCCACCTATAACATCGAGTATAATCATCTGAATATAATCTTCCCCTTCTTTTACTGCAAAATGTGGCAGTGAGACAAAGTATACAAGCAATGATCTGTAAAAGTATATTCATGTCTGGCTGGTTTAAGGAATGGCAATTATAGCTTCTCTAAGCTAAAACTAACACCCCTAGATTTGCTCAAGAACACCCAGCAGCCATCTAAAGTAAAAAATATACTCGGTAGCTCTCAATTTTGACACAAAATGCCCTCTGAAGTCCTTCTGAAGAATTTCTGGCCTATTTTTTTCACAAACTCTGCAGCTCTTCTTGTTCTACACGAAGTCCCTGTCGTTCTTCAAGTCTGCTTCAATTTAGAGTCTTCTTGTTGGCCTTAGATTAACAATACAGATTGGGGTCTCTTTCAGTTCCGAGTTAGGACGGCAATGACAGCTTGAATACTCAGTTAAAGATGACAGATTCAGTGTTCAGGGTTTTCAGTTTCAGCCAAACTGACATTCAAAGATGACAATCCAAGTATCAGGATTCTGGAGCTGATCAAGGTGCTTTTTACCATGTAAAACAAAATACTCAATGTAGAGGAAGTTTTTATAAACTACTTGTTCGAAATTGCTCCGGAACCAGCTGAAACAACAGATTCAAAACCCTCGGTGCAAAGCATGAACACTACAAAATCTATAAATGACTTTCTAAATGAAAAATGTCAAGATATAATCCCTTAATTGACGCCGAAGGAAACAATACAAGAAGGCAACACAAAATTCTACCAGCACAGAATTCTACATAACCACATAAAAATCATAATTCAAAATCTTATTAGGAAATATTTATCTTCAATTAGTCAGAAGAAATGCAAGCTAGGGGTTTTTAAACTAAATAGAAAAAATAAAATTACCCACGCACCACTATCATCCTTATTCAAAAGCACCCAATAATTCCTTCACAATACTTTCCCTCACAACTATATCGGCAGTCGCCAATCTGCCTTTCTCCCATGGGAATGCTAAGCCATAAAGAATCCAAACATTTTCTCTAAGCATGGAATGTTCATTATTCCGTAGGTCCTTAATCCAATAAGTTACATTCCTAGGATTATTAATTAAGCCAGTTAAGCCAACTCTCATAAACCATCGAAGTCGAAATCAAATCAATAAAATTACCCAGCTCTTTGTTTCCTATAGAAACACTCCCTCTTGATCCAGACCCCTGCATATTTGCACTAAAAAACACCACTTTCTTTAAAGTTTTAGGTCAATGCGGCACCATTTTCTTTAACAAGAACTTCGTTGTTTCAACAAAGGATGGATCGAACTTCATGTCGGATTTCAGAGGTGTATCTCTACTTCTCCTTGTGCTTGACAATACTGCAGTTTTAACAGCGAAGATTAATTCGCAATGGATACTATCACCATCACCAATCATGCTGTTCAGCCTGGACACATGCAAACTCGAGGAAGAAGGGAAAAAGCAGAGCTTGATTT